TAGTATACACACACACACACATTACATTATATATATATATATATATAAATATATTATATATATTATATATATATATACCACATACATTAAATATATATATACACATTATTATACATACATAAATATATATATATATACATATCTATACATATATATTAAATTAACATACATATGATAACATACATATAGATGTATATACATTATAAGATATATATTACACATCATACTTATAGTATATATGTATATATATACATAATATACATACATTATATACAATAATATATACATATTACATACATACATACATACATACATATATATATATACATATACATACATACATATATAATATACATATATAACACATATACATACATATCTATACATTATACAACAATATATACATATATACTATACAATCTATTAACATTATACATAATAATATTACATACATATACAACTATATACTATATATTATTATATATATATAAATATCATTATCATATTATATATCACATACTATATACACACTATAATAAGTGATATATAAATATAATAATCAATATATAATATAATATATATATAATATTTTATATATATATAGTATTTATAAATATATATTATTTATCTATAAATATATATATTTATCTATAAATATACATATTTATATATAAATATATTTATATATGAATATATACATTCATATATGAATATACATATCTATATATGAATATACATATCTATATGTGAATTATGACAATATCTACTATATGAATATACATATCTAATATATGAATATACATATCTATATAGAATATATATTTATTATAATATATAATTTATATAAGAATTATATATATTTATATATGGGAATATATATATTTAATATGAATATATATCTTAGTAATGAATATATTATTTATATTATGAATATATATATTTATATATACATATATCTAAAATATATTCATATACCATGTTTATATATTATATTATACATGAAAAGATGGAATAATGCACTGGCCGCATTGATATCACAAAATATATATACCTCTCTGATCGGGATTTATCTTCGCGCCATTGCAAGTGATTGCAAGACGGGCCACTTCTAACCACTGATACAACAACCCGCTAAAAGGACGTGTGCAAATTAGCTAGCGCCTAGTTGCACATTCCTTTTAAGCAGGTCGTAGTATCAGTGGTTAGAGTGGCCATCTTGCAACAGCGGCGATGGATCAAATACCGATCGTAGAGGTTATATACATTCATATATATATATATATATATATATATATATATATATATATATATATATATATATATATATATATATTATATATATATTATATATATATATTATATATATATTATATATACATATATATATATATACATTATTGCATATATATATATATATATATATATATGCATATATATATATATATATATATATATACATATATATATACATATATGTATATACACATATATATATACATATATATTATATATATATATATACATATATATATATTATATATACATATATATATATATACATATGTATATACATATATACATATATATATATATTATATATATTATATATATATATATACATACACACACATAAATGTAAATATATACATATATATTCAAATGTATATATATATATGTATATATATATATATATATGTATGTATTATTATATATATATTATATATATATATATATTGTATATATGTATGTATATACATATTACACATATATATACACATACATATATACATATTGTATATACATATGTACATATCTATCTATATATATATGCATATATGTGTATATACATATATATATATATATATATATATGCAAATATATATAAACATGTACACTCACACACACACACATTCTATATATTATATATATATATATATATATATATATATATATATATATATATATATATATACCACACACACACACACACACACACACACACACACACACACACACACACATATATATATATATATATATATATATATATATATATATATATATATATTTATATATAATATGTATATATCTGTGTGTGTACATGTTTATATATATTTGCACATACATACATATATATTATATATATATATATAATATATATATATATATATATATATATATATATATATATATGTGCAAATATATATAAACATGTACACACACACACACACACACACACACACACACACACACACACACACACACACACACACATATATATATATATATTATATATATATATATATATATATATATATAAATATATAAATATATATATATAAATATATATATATATATATATATATATCTAATATACTATATATATATATATCTATATATACATATATCTATAAATTCATATCTATCTATCTATCTATCTATATATAATATATATATATATATATATATTTGCACATACATATATACCTATACATATACA